CACCCCCCTCCCCCTGCCCCCCCCCCACCCCCCCTCCCAACCCCCTCACCTCTTCTCCGGATACGAAAAAGTGAAGAAAAGCACATGGCCTGATACGCGCGTGTGTGGGCTTAAGGCTTCGGGTTTAGGGAAGGGCCGAGACCACGTTTTGAGTTCTGCTCCCTTGAGCAAGTCTTGATTTGGGGGTTTCCGAAAATAGGGGACCCGAATATAGTACCCTAGATAGTAGGACTCCATTATAAGGACCCCAGAATAAGGTACCCTAATTTTCGGAAACTCCCATTTTGGCCAGTCCTCCTGTGTCCACGCTTATTGCCTGCTTGCGAAGTCACCTGATCCTCCACGTAGGGTTGAGCTGCGGATGAATGGTTTGTCCTCAACCCAGAACTCCCAAACCCTGAACCCTCAGAGCCTTGATCCCAAAACCCTTCACCCCAGAAAGCTGCGTGAGTCGTAGACCCGAAAAGGCTTCAGGGCTTGGGTTGGGCCCAACAGCCGAGTCTAATGTAGGGGCCTTAATAGTTGAAATAGGGTTTTGGGGTCCTTTATCGTATATCTATAGTAAGGCACCCCCCCCCCCCACAACAGTATAGGCAATTATTGAGGCCCCTATATTAGAGATCCCTCAGGCTCGTGGCCACTAAAACCTTAGATCCCTCTAAGACCTAGTGTAGGGGCCTTAAATAAGTAGAATAGGGTCTATCATAGGGTTCCTTTAAAGGGCTCCTTTAAAGGGGTTCTATAAGGGCTACTATAAGGGCTTCGGGTTTAGGGTCCTCAATAATGAAAGATCAGGCTTTGGGGTATACTATCTTATACTTCCAATAAGGAATCGCCAAAATAGTGGCGGTAAGTATTTAAGCCCCCTATTTTACAAGGGTAGACAAGGCATAACGGTTCAGGGTTTAAGGCTTAGGGCTTATGGCAGAATCTCACTGATTCTTTGCGTCCCCTATATGAAGCCCTGAAGCCCGAACGATAAACAAGGTCCAGTATGCCTGTCGGTCCCTTTCAGAAGCCCCGCTTCTTTGAGCACTTGGAGGCCCAGGGGACTTAGTAAGTAGGTTATAAGTAGAGTTAGAAGTACCCTAAATGGAGTTACCCCAATTATAACCCTACTTCTAACCGAGTTACTAAGTCCCCTGGGCCTCTAAGCAGTGGATCTTTGTTGAATCAGTTGCATGCCTCTCTAGCATAGTCGCTAAGCTTCTGAGCCTCTTCAGTTTGAGACTTACAAAAAGCCCACAACCCCAGAACATAATGACCCATGAGACTTGCAGAAAATAGGACCGTAGTATCACCAGAACCCTAAACCCTAAACCCTATAAAGACCGATGCTTACTGTAAAGCCTCCGTGACCAGATCGCAAGGCCATGGCATTCCAAAGGGCCCAAAACAAAAAAATCCTAAACCGCGAAATCCTAATTCACAAAGGGTTTAGGGCGGTGTAGGATTTAGGGTTTAGGGAACCCCTAAATCCTATATACCCCCCAGACTAATAGGAGTGTTACCATAAGTATCACCATAATGAAGCCCAAAGTATACAGCCACCCACATTCAACATGGAGCCCGTTCTTTTATGCTCCACAGTAGGGGAAGCAACGGCAGTAGCAGCTCAGTAGCAAGGTGCGCTGCTTTCGCTTTGGCCTTCGCCTTCGCGGCTGCTCTGGCTGCAGCTCGTTTCACCAAGAGCACTTGACCCTGGTGCTCTTCACTCAGTTGGCTGGCAGTCTTTCTGAGCTGGCGCAAGCGCTTCTGAGCAGGCTTGATCTCTCTGGCTCTCATGCGCTTTTTCCGCACGAGCCGCGCCCTCTCTGCAACCAAGGCGGCCAATCTTGATACCACACTCGGACGCTCATCCGCTTGAGGCGCCATGAACACTCACGACCGACAAGGTGTAGCAATGAAGCGCACGTACCCCGGCATCAACCCTTCCTGATATCATGTACTAGCAACATTGGAAACTGAAGCATTGTCTCTGAAAGGAGTATATACTCACCAAACCCTCATGGAAACCCTCCTACCTCAATATAAACCACAAAACCCACAACGAAACCCAGCAACATCCTTTACGAAATCTATACTGCCCAAACCTAAAGGACCCAAATACCAAGTCTACCTGATTTACTTTTTGCCCTTGGATCCCACAGGATGGACTGTGCAGCTCCTAGCAGCAGTGTCATCAAGACATAGGTGAACAAAGAGCTCGGCCACATGAGTGCGAAGACCTGCAAAAAAGTCGATGGTGCAAGGTTTTGCGTGTAGACTGGGTTTGGGAAGTGGCGTTTGTGGATCCCCGTAGTAAGGTTGAGGCAACTGTTCGGGCTCGTAGGGTGTCCAGGGTTACGGTTTACAAGTCTGTGAGGTGGATTTAGTGAGTAGGGCGTTAGATATATATTATGTATATATATATATATATATGTATATATATACATATATATATATATATATAGAGGGCTTATGGGGCTTGGAAGCGAAAATCGACAGGGAAGCGCTGGGCGAACCTCGAGCAAGGGTTGTCTAAGCCCGAAACTCTCAGAGCCCAGGACACCAAAACTCCCAACCCCCAAAGGCGCCTTGATGCGCGGATCCTCAACCCTACACCCTGAACAAAAAAGCCTACACCCCCCAAACTTGAAAGCCAAAACCCCTAAACCCACCTCAACTCTGAACCCCTAAACCCCTAGCCTAAACCCCTAAACCCACCTCAACCCTAAACCCTAAACCCTAAACCCCTAAAGCCCCTAAACCCCCAGAAGAGCCCTTCGCGAGGGTGCCTCCGGCAAATCCAAGGAGCGCTGTCCATGGAGGGCCAAGGGCGCTGCTTTGTAATTGCTCCCCTGGTGATCCATGAGCCTCGGGTTCAGGGTTTGGAGTATAGGGGTGTTTGGGGTTCAGGGTTTAGGGCATAGGGGTTAGGGTTTAGGGTATAGGGTTTGGGGTTTAGGGTTCAGGGGTTTAGGATTTAGGGTATAGGGGTTGGGTTTTAGGGTTTGGGGTTCAGGGGTTTAGGGTAGAGGGGTGTTTGGGGTTTAGGGTTTGGGGTTCAGGGGTTTAGGGTTTTTGGGGTTTGGGGTTCAGGGTTTACTGTTCAGCGTTGAGGTTTAGGGGTTAGGTCTTCGACTGCCCAGTTTTTGAATTGTTTCATTCTCCAATGTAGCGGGTCGTTAAATTCTGTTAGATCCCGCGAACATTATCTGGCTTTGTGCATGCCATGCAGAAAACCATAGCAAATAAATCAAAGATGCTCATTTTCCTATGCAACCAGGACCCAAAGCACCAAAATTCACTATCTTTGATTGTTTTCCAATAGAAAAGTCAGACTTTGGGCAAACGCACCGCTCAAACCAGTCTTTCGTGCTCAAGCCATACCTAATACAGCAAAGATGCCCCAATTTCCGATGCAGAAAGGACCCAAAACAACAAATTCCACTATCTTTGATTATTTTCCAGCAGAAAACTCAAACTTTGGGCAGTCCCACCCCCGAAAACAGTAATTTCGTGCCAGCCCATACCAAATAAATCAAAGACGCTCAATCCTCCTATGCAGCGAGGACCCAAACCAGCAAAATCCAGGATCCTTTATTATGTTCCAAAAGAAAACTCAAACTGCGAGCGAACCCCCCCCCCAAAAAAAAAACCAGTATTTTATGCTCAAACCACACAAAATAAATCAAAGGTGCTCAATCTTCCTATGCCGCGAGGACCCAAAACAGCAAAATCCGCTACCTCTGATAACTTTCCAAAAGAAAACTCAGATTTGGGCAAAGCCAGAACTTTGCCCAAACTATAGTTTTTTTGCAGACTTTGGGCCACTGTAGGCAGAAGGCAATTAACCTATCATGGGTTTGTCTGTGATCTTGGCGTGTGGAAGCTATGTCTCCTTTTAATGGCAAATAAACAAACCTTACAAATCAGCAGTTCCTTGCAGGTCCGCTTGGGGCCACACCCTGTCGAATCTCTATTAATTCAGGGGTCTGTCAAGGTCGCTACAAAGGGTCTCTACACGCCGGGTTGCTAACTTCGATTTATCAGGTCGGGGTCGCTAATTCCGTTGTTTCGGAGTGACGTCGCATGACGTAGGGCCTAGGGTTTAGGGTTTCAGTACGCCATAACTCCCCCTGTTTTGGAGTATCGTATTACAGTAAGTAAGGGTTCAAGTGTTTGGGGTTTGCGCGCGTTTGAGGCTTGCGCTTTGGGTCTGCTTCACGGCGCAGGGAACGTAGCAAGTAGGTCGTAAGCAGGCTCGTATCCAGTTACCAGAGACCGTCCCAACACTCCCTACTTAGAGGCACAGGGGACTTAGTAAGTAGGTTATAAGTAGAGGTATAAGTACCCTAAATGGAGTTACCCCAATTATAACCCTACTTACAACCGACTCACTAAGTCCCCTGGGCCTCTAAGCAGTGGATCTTTGCTCTTATAAGTAGACATATAAGTAACCTGAATGGAGTTACCTCAAATAGCAAACTTGAACGCCAATCAACACGCCAAACTAAAGGCTGGATGCTCGAAGTCCAACACTCTCTGAGTGCCTCTAAGGGACTCGTAAAGGAGCCCTTAAAGGAGCCCAACAAGGGCGGGCCCTTGAAGGAACTCTTACAGAAGCCTTTACCTTAAAGGAGCCCTCAAAGGAACCCTTAACGGAACCCTTAAAGAAGCCTTCAAGGAGCCCTTAAAAAAAGGCCCCTTACAGGAACCCTGTAGAAGCTCTATAATGGTAGCCGACTGAGCAGCAGGAGCTGCTTGGGATGAAGGAGAGGCTGTTGCTCGTAGTACGGCGACAGCCTGCACCACTAACTCTGTTGCGTAGGTGCTTCTTCGGGTTTAGGGTTAGCATTTGGACTTTAGAGATTAAGCTTTCTGATTTTCGTTCGTGAGACCTTCCGCGCTCAGCCTTCCTAAGCGTTTAGTGTTCAGGGCTTTTGAAGGTTTTGGGACAACAGCGGGCCATCTTGGACCCTCCTTTTCTGAGACACGTGTTTCGGGACCTGGTGGACTTCAACGGGACGAAGGTTTACAAGGGTACTGGCTGGTGGCTTGAAGGGGCTGAGTGTTGAAGTAAACTTCAGTAAGGTGTGGACGCACAGTAGGGAAGGCAAGCTTGAGGGGGCGTCGAGGGTCGAGTCATCAGACTCCCTTTGCCAGCTACGTCAACTTAGAAACGCACGCACACAGGGATAAACCAACAAGAGTTTACGACCGAATCTCAACCCCTACTTGGAGGCCCAGGGGACTTAGTAGGTAGGTTATAAGCAGAGTTATAAGTACCCTAAATGGAGTTACCCCAATTATAACCCTACTTATCACCGACTTACTAAGTCAGCTGGGCCTCTAAGTAAGGCTCTAAGGACTCATATTCTAAGGCTTTTGGGCCCAAAGACCTCTCTATAGAAGGCTTTTGGGCCATTTTGAGCCTTATGGAACGTCCCTCTATGCCTCAGCCTGGCCTCCGAGGCCTAATTACAACTGGTGCCTTCCTTCATTGACGTTCCGCCTTAGTAATTAATTACATCCACTCGAGGAACCTAGAAACGAACCCCTAAAGAGGGTTTAGGGTTTAGGGTTTAGTAATTGCATCCCCTGAGAGGAACCTAGCAACGAAGCCCCTGAAGAGGGGCCTTAGTACTTGGAGTATTGTACTGAGGGCTCCTCAAAAATAATCTTACCAATTATTCAAAGACTTACATTGCTGCTATCGGAATCGGTGCCCCTTGTACAGTGGTATACAGGCCTGAATGCATGCAACACGGACTTCTGGTCTGTTAGAAATAGTAGGGCTTCTAGAGTCTTTCCATGTCGTATGTACATGTACAGACCGGTACAGAGTGCGCTTAGAACAAGTAAGATTTCAGTTGCGGGTTGTGGTGAAGCACGCATTCATGAACCAAGTAAGTATGAGCAACTGCAACTGTAATCTGTCTACATAGACATGTAGTCATGTCAACTATAAAAACCTGCTAGTCTTATTACAATTCCGAGTCCCTCTGTTTTCTATTCCAAAAAGAGGGGCCAAAATGTTTCCTGTAGTATTTTAGGGTTTCCCTGTTATAAGTATAGTATAAGGGGCCCCAAAACCCTATTCTAATTATTAAGGCCCTTACATTACTCTTATGACCCTTCTGACAATATCCCAGGCCGTAGGATGCCGTCTCTGAAGTCGATCAAGCCAGGATACGGTGGTCCGGGATTCAGTGCTTTTGGGGTTTGAAGCTTTGAAAGGCTGTCCATTTGGGTAGTTCTCTAAGTTCGGGTCCCTTTGGGATCCCCCAAAAGGACCCTCAAAGAGACCCTAATTCAGAGAACTACGCATTTAGAGACAGGCTGAGGTTCTTTGGGACTTTAGGACCCTCTGGAATCGCAACTGCCTAGTCTTGCGCCTTCGTCGCCAGTAGTCGCTCCGTGGCAAGACGTGCACCAGCACGTCTTCCAGAATTTCCAAGAGGATACCTGAATGTTTTTCGTCTTGTGATTCATGAAGGGGCTGAGGGTTTAGGGATTGAGGGGTTTAGGCTTAGGTAGCTCATGAAGTCTGCAAGCAGCCGTATGCTTCGCCGGACACGAACCAAGGTATTTGCAAGCCTGCATGGAACCTACTTGCTAGCCCCTAAACCCTAAGACCCTAAACCCTCCTTGCTAGCCCCTTGGATCCTTGGAGAGGAGTCCCTAAGCCTGACCTAGCCGCCTCAAAACATCCAGGGTTTAGGGTTCAGAGTTTAGGGGCATTATCATGCAGTATATTCCAAAAACCGTTATATCAACAAAGCGTGGTAGAAGGTAGTTTTGGGGCCTTTCTGGGCAGATTAGGGCCTGAACTCGAAGAGCATGTTTGGGGTTTAGGGTTTAGGGTTTAGGCAAGGCTTCCATGGCCAGGTCACCACTTGCCTTTTGGGCATCTACGGGTACAGTCTGCAAATGCAAACATGCTCATCGAGTTTAGCACTTTGGGCATTCAAGTAATGTAGGGCCTCAATTTCTGGATTAGGGTTTTGGGGTCCATAATACTATAATTCTAATAAGGAGCCCCCAAAACCCTATTCAACTTAATAGCATCTCCCTGTACAGCAGCTCGCAACCCTACGAGGCTTACGACGCGCCTATGGATTTTGAGCATACACCATATACTGGGTGGGTCAGGAGACTCAGAAATATGATGGTATGTACACTAGAGTAGACTAAAACATACACGATAATACACGATACTTAGAGGCCCAAGGGACTTAGTAAGTCGGCTATAAGTAGGGTTATAATTGGGGTAACTCCATCTAGGGTACATATAACTCTACTTGTAACCTACTTACTAAGTCCCCTGGGCCTCCAAGTAGTATGCTACAAAGATACAGGGATGTGGGTTGTTCTCTAAACTAGGGTCCCTGTTTAGATCCCCAATATAGTACGGCACCCTTATAAAAAGGATCCCCAGAAGGGACCCTAATTTTGATAACTACCCATGTATAGATAAAAACAGGTTTTGTGGTATGTTCTAGTTTGACTATTCTAGAGAGCCCCTTAGGAAGAATCCTGGTAGTTATGTCTGCATTAGACGCCTGATGAACGGTTTATGGATTGGGGTTTAGGGCTTAGGGGTTTAGGGTTTAGGGTTTAGGGGTTCGGGTTTAGGGTTTAGGGCTTAGGGGTTTAGGGTTTAGGGTTTAGGGTTTAGGATCCCATGTCCTTAAGACCTAAGAGCCAGGATTACAAGAGGTGGATTTGTGAATTGCCAGAACCAAGTTTTTCCTAAAGGCCCTCTACATTCTATGCTAGCACAAGACAAAGAGGTCCCAGTAGACTGAAAGTTAAAGATCAAGGTCTACATGAAGCAAAGATCGCTTACAAAGGAAGCCGAACAGAACTATGGAAACCTACGACAAACCAACTATCTACAAAAGATTCTCACAGCTTTAACCCTGCACCCCCGAAACCTAAATCCAAACCCTGAGCCCTAAACCCCACAAGCGGTACAAACACTTCTCAACGATTGTTGCTTCGGAATATCTGGGTTTCGTAAGGTTCCGCAGGCGACTAAACTCCTACTTTAGGAAGTACGAGAGTAGGCTTTGGGGTGTAGGGTTTTAGGTCTTGGGTTTATGGCCTGGGGTCTAAGGGTTTAAGGCTTAAGGATTTAGGGGGTTTTGGGTTTATGTCAGGCGTGCACTCTGAACCGTAACCCACGGCCGGGCTTGTTAATCTATGATAATACGGAAAGTTTAGGGTTTAGGTAGCCTTCCCACCACCACTACCATAGTCTTGTACGCAAAACGAATCTGGTTTGCAGGCTCAGCACCGGCCCTACAATGGGCCTCGAAGAAGGCTGGAGGGGAAGGCCGGGAAGGCTACGAAGCCTAACTGCGCTGAAGAAGCACTCTGCGATCGAGGTGGCGGTTTTCCTGAGAAATTGGTGACATTCACCCAGCTCCCGAAACCCTAAACCCTAAACCCTAAACCCTAAACCCTAAACCCTAAACCCTAAACCCTAAAAGGCGAAGAGCTGGTGTCGGCTTTTCAATGCCCTCAGCACGGAAGTATCCGCCGGGTAGAAGAGAAGCAACCCCGCGCCTCACTTAGGGTTTAGGGTTTAGGGTTTAGGGTTTAGGGTTTAGGGTTTAGGGTTTAGGGTTTAGGGTTTAGGGTTTAGGGTTTAGGGTTTAGGGTCTCGACAGCTGACAGCGACGACGATAAGGGAGCTTCCCGAAGTGGACGCAGCCGCAGTTGGCGCAGCCGCCGCTCAGGCACTCGTGCCGCCTATGGTCACGAAAGAGGTAGGCATGCAGGGATGAGGACATGGGCGGCCGCCCAAATGTTAAGACTGAGGTGAAGGCGAAACTGCCCACAGCTTCCCTCGTCACCAACTGAACCAACTAAACTTACAACTGCGGGGGCTTACAGCAAACAGGAGCGTGTCCTTACTACAATGATAGCTTCAACAAATTTCTTTTTAGCAGGAACCCGGAGTAAGTGCAATGTTGGGATGCGCGGCGTTCATGCTTCCTCTTCCCGACTCAAACTTCGGGCACAGTAAAGTCGTGAGAAGTTGATGATCCGTAGTCCAGGTTCCATTTTAGACTGCACTCCACACCCTAAAACATATGAAGCCTCAACGCGGGGGGTACATTTGCGAAACAAGACGACAGCGTGTCAAGACCAGATGGAAACTTGCAGCATTGTATAGAGCACCCTAAACCCTAAACCCTAAACCCTAAACCCTAAACCCTAAACCCGAAGCCCTAAACCCACCCATACATCTGCGGTTCAGGGTTGAAGGTTTAGATGTTGGGGCTTGGGGTTCAGATTCAACCCTGAACCTCTATGAAGCCTTTCTCTTAAGCCCTTATCGGGGTTTAGGGTTTAGGGTTTAGGCTTTAGGGTTTAGGGATTATCTTAAACCTATATATCCTTTGAACCGGAGGAGAGAAAACTGGATAACCCTTATCAGGGTTTAGGGTTTAGGGTTTAGGGATTGTCTAAAACCTATATCTCCTTTGAACCGGAGGAGAGAAAACTGGATAATGAGTGTGAGACTCTTCCATTTGGTTCTTATTCAAGTAGAAGAACCCCAGAATCTTATTCTGATTTTTAAGACCCCTGTACCAAATGCTCCATAATAGCCTCTTTAAAAGCACCTACCTCAACAAACACCGTAAACACCTTCAAACCCAGGCCTCCGACACTTGGTGCCAAACCCACCCCTTTCTAAACCCTACCTGTAACCGAAAAAAGACCTACCTTTTGAAGGAACTATAAATAGAACCCTTAATAAGAAACCCTAAAAAGGTAGGTCTTTCCGGCTACAGGTTATAAACCCTAAACCGTTAACTTTAGAAGCCCCCGAACCATGGGCACGTGAGCATGCGGGCGATGCTCGTGAGGTCGTAGAGGGCAATGGAGATATCCGCGGCACAGCCCTGAACGAGGGTTCTTTACCCTGAAAGCCGTAAAACCCCATACCCTAGACCCTAAGCCCCTAAACCCCTAAACCCTAAAGACCCTACCCTAAACCCCTAAACCCCCAAACCCTATAGACCCTACCCTAAATCCCAAACCCCAAAACCCTATAAAACCTGCTCCTGAAACCCCTAAACCCTATAGACCCTACCCTAAATCCTAAACCCCAAAACCCTATAAAACCTAGTCCCTAACCCTAAACCCTAAACCCTAAACCCTAAACCCTAAACCCTAAACCCTAAGCCCTAAACTCTAAACCCTAAACTCTAAGCCCTAAACTCTGTAGGGGGTTCCAAGGTCTTGCCCTGAGACCCTCGTGGGCCTGCAAAGCTGGGATGAAGGTAGGTGGGATATTTCGGGTTTAGGGGTTTAGGGGTTTAGGGTTTAGGGGTTTAGGGGTTTAGGGGTTTTGGAGGCTTAGGGGTTTAGGGTTTAGGGGTTTAGGGGTTTAGGGGTTTAGGGGTTTAGGGTTTAGGGGTTTAGGGGTTTAGGGTTTATTCCTTTATATAAGGGATCCTTACTCCTTACCTGCCCTCATCCCACCTTTTGAGGCCTCCGATAGAAGTCGCCCAAAGTAGGACTGGAGCTACCCAGCCCCAACCTTAAGGACGACACCCTAAACCCTAGACCCTAAACCCTGTACCCTAAAAGGGCTTAAGGTCCTAAACCCTAAACCCTAAACCCTAAACCCTAAAACCCTAAAACCCTAAAACCCTAAACCCGGATGCCAGCCGCCGAGATCCGCCCCCCCGGCCCCGGGCCGCAGAGAAAGCGAACCGAGCCTCTCGGCCTCGCTAGCGTCGGCTGCCGACGAGAACATAGTGGCCAGGCTTAGGGTTTAGGGCTTCGGGTTTAGGGTTTAAGGCTTGGGGTTTGGTGTGTAGGGCTTTGGGTTTAGGGTTTAAGGCTTAGGGTTTAGGGCTTAGGGTTTAGGGTTTAAGACTTGGGGTGTGGGGTTTAGGGGTTTAGGGGGTTTAGGGCTTAGGGTTTAAGGCTAAGGGTTTAAGGCTTAGGGTTTAGGGCTTAGGGTCTAGGGTGTATAATCGGTGGTGGTGGCGACTTGCCAGGAATCGTCGCTGTGCCACCTCTTCCGCCGGCAGCCACCTGATCCACCCAGACAGCCCAGGGTTCAGGGTTTAGGGGTTTAGGGTTTAAATAGGGTTTAGGCCCAATACCCCTTAATTAAGGAATATACCTTAAACTATAAGAGGCTTAATGTTATCATTCAAGGCCCCTCAACCCTAAACCCTAAACCGAAATCTAAGGTATATTCCTTGATTATAAGGGGTATTGGGCTCTCTGGGAATATCGGCCCTCTGGGGCCGGCTGCGTCGTCGAGGCTGCGGAAGCCGCCGACGAGAAGTGGCTTAGGGGTTTAGGGTTTAGGTTTCAGGAGTTTAGGGTTTATGGTTTAGGCTTCAGGAGTTTAGGGTTTAGGTTTCGGGAGTTTAGGGTTTAGGGTTTAGGGGGTTCATATAGGGTTTAGGGTTTAGGTTTCAGGAGTTTAG